TGGCATCCACTGATATGTCACTTAGTAGATTTGTGATACGTTAGGAGGTTGAGGGAGTGAGCTGGGGAGTGGAGAGATATATCTGGGTGTCATCAGCATAGAGGTGATATTGGAAGCCATGGGAGGTTATCAGTTGGCCCAGGGAGGAGGTGTAGAGAGAGAAAAGGGGAGGCCCAAGGACAGAACCTTGGGGTACCCCAACAGAAAGAGGAAGAGGAGCGGAGGAGGAGTAGTTGTATGTGACACTGAAAGTGCGCTGAGAAAGTTAAGAGGAGAACCAGGAGAGAGCAGAGTCACGGAGGCCGATGGAGTGGAGTTTACTGAGGAGGAGTGGGTGGTCAACTGTGTCAAAGGCAGCGGAAAGGTCAAGGAGTATGAGTATGGAGTAATGGCCATTGGTTTTAGCAGTTAGTAGGTCGTTAGTGAGTTTTAGTAGGGTAGTTTCAGTGGAATGTTGTGGGTGGAAGCCAGACTGTCGGGGATCAAGAAGGTTGTTGTCGGTGAGGTAGGTAGCAGTTTATACAGTTGTGAAGAAGACGCTCAAGAAGCTTGGAGGCAAATGGGAGCAGGGAGATGGGTCTTAAATTATTCAAACAGGTGGGGTCCAGCGAGGGTTTTTTTTGAGTATGGGGGTAACCAGTGCATGTTTGAGTGGGGAGGGAAAGGTGCCCATGGAGAGTGAGAAGTTGAAGATGTGGGTTAGAGTTTAGAATAGAGCAGGAAGGAGGCTGCCACAGTCCTGAGGGGACAGGATCCAGGGGACAGGTGGTGAAGTGAGCCTTGGAAACGAGTTCGGTATCTTCCTCGGTGGTAACACGGTGGGTCGAAGGAGGAGAGTATTGAATATTTTAGCCCAATATCCTGTAAATGTTTTAGAGCAAGCCTTGGGTCTGCATTGCCTATGGAGATTGTGAAGCCTCTATGAAGTAACTTTTACTATTGTATACAGAACATAGTTTCGCTAGGAAGTAGGTATCTTTTGCTTGTTATAGGTATATCTGTCAGTCTTGTATTGTATTTCTATCATTGTAATTGTTTGTATATACAGAATTTTTTTTTAGTAAAAGCACATTAACATACCACAGAGCTTCTTTGCTTATAACGCAAAGTAACCTTACTAGACACCAAAGCAAAACAAAGGAAAATTCATTATTAGGCATGTGCGTGTTATTGCTTTTTTCCTAGCTTTAACTTTAGCTCATGCTGAGATAGACATTATGAAACATTTATTTTACTTTATATCACTAACAGTTGGCAATTGCACCAGACAAATGGCAGTGAAGGGTAATGATCCAAAGTTCTGTATGAATATGTTCTTTCTGGAATTATCCAAAATTGGTTCAAAGGAATTTTATTAAATGTTTTGGCCTAGTTATTGTGAAATTCAATTGCAGATGGGTTGGCAAAAATAAAGCCTTCAGCAGTATCAAACAAAACTTTATATAAGTAGCCTGAGGTAAATAAAATGCTATATACTAAGATTCACCAAAACTATACTAAGATCTATTCGCAAAGGTCAGTCAAATTTAACTGCTCTTCATTTCGTAGGAATTTGCCCTATTATGTTCCTAAATGTATCCTGTTCTATCCTAACTTTTAAAGTCTGACATAAGAAAGTGTAATGTTAAAAGAAACGTGGCAGAAAAAAAGATAAGAAAAGAAAATCTAACAATTATATCACAGTGTAGAAATGTGCTTCATGATCTTTTTCTAATGAATGTGATGGCTTATAAAAAATGAGGGTGTTACAGTATAAATTCTAGGCAAAAAAGTGCCTTTAATTTGACCCAAAAAAATTTAAATTGAAGATAAGCTCATGAGCTGGTTTTCTGTACCTTGTGGAGTGGGCCATGTTGGAAGGCTTGCATTGTACTAAAATTGATGGGAAATATGGAGGGAGTGAAGATTCGCCCATTATATACATTCAGTAGTGCTAAATAGCTATTTTGGCAGCACCTCTATCTCAGTATGCTGATTTCCAGTAAAGGCTCAGACCTTACAAAGTGTTTCATTATCCTGTGGAACTGAATGACCTGAAGCTTGCAAATCAAAGCACTGTTCTCCTACTTTTGCCCTGCTGAATTAGAGAAATTAATATACTTGTCTACTAGAAAGCATAAAGAATATGCAAACCCAACATTTCATAATACTGATCTGTGCCTGATGTACCATGAACGTGTATGAAAAAGTATCCTGTTCTCTTTTTATTGCGTCCCTTCTGTGAAATCTCTGGTGTTTCAGCCAGTCCCTTTGCTTTCTTATTAAAAATTGACCACACTAAACAGGAGAACACACAGTGTCAGTTCTGAAATTCAGCCCCCCAAATCTGGGCTAAAATCTATATCTTGATCTTGTTTAATGGATTTTAACCATGCATGCTGGTTACTGTCTAACACTGCATTTTATTCAGATTTTCAATTAACATGTACAGAGCTGGGATGGGAAATAAAATTAGTTTTGATAAATAAGCATTAGTATACCTTTGTGCATGACCAGGTTATTCTAAGCTTAAAAGGGCAAAACTGTTTTGTTTCATTTGGTTATTCCCCCACTTCATAGTGTCAATGACTATACATTGCTCTTGACTGTGTGCAGTACTTTGGGAGACTGCCATTTTGTTCACAAGTGAAATGCGAAATATGAGAAATCCTCCTTTTAGACAATATTAAAAATGAAGTTAGCACAGGATTGGTTTGAACTGCGTTATAGACGTGTTAGGCGAAACCATGTTCTTTTTCTATTAGGATTTTACTGCTGTTTTTACAGTGTTATAGAGTAATAATTAGTCTAAAAAGACTTGTCTGTAAACTCAGTTATATATTAAATAAATAACATTATCACAGTCATGCCAAAAAATACACCTCATACAAATGACTTACAAGAAATATCGCTTTTGCATTACTCAGAACTTCGAAGTAAAAATGTCACAGGGGTGGGCTTTTATAGTGTAAACACTTTAAAAGTGTGGAAAATTAGGCTTAGCACTGCAACCTGATACTGAGACTTGGTATTCGCACCTAATAAAATAAAAAAAAAGTAAATTATAAAAACTATTTAAAGCAACCAAAAGTGGTGTGATCACCTCAGCTATGTTTAACCATTTGAGGATGGACAGTTCTCAAGTCCAGGTCCAGGATCTGGACTAATACAGGTTACTTATTTATACCTAAGTTCTTTAATCTTCAAAATCTTTGAACCTTTGAATGCATTTTCTATTTTGCACAAATGTGAAGCAGATCTTTTAAATCTGGTTTTGGAGATAGGATCCATCTGTGCATTATCTAAACATTAGTTTACAGACAGGTCTATTAAGAACAATTTGAAATCTTGGATAAATGTAATCTCTGAACATTTGAAGAGGATGAAAATCGAAAAATATTCAAAGAATTCACATGCACTATAGGAGTGCCAAAAATAAGATACTATCTAAATAGTTGTGGGAAACTGCAGTTAGGGCACGCATTTTAGGTCAATGAATATACATGTTAAGACCCAGGTGTGGTATATGTCAATATTTTTGGTACAGGTGGAGCCTGTTGGGCTGGATCAGCCCTTGTTCCTTATATGCTTGTCTTGGAAATTCTAACACTACGATTCCCCTGACACAATCTCAGTATAAATACAGCTGTTCTGTGAACCCCTCACAGGTATGTTAGAGACCAAGGAAATCAACAGACAGGTCAGGGATAAAGTTGTGGAAAAGTTTAAAGCAGGCTTAGGTTATAAAAAATATCCCAAGCTTTGAACATCTCACGGAGCACTGTTCAATCCATCATCTGAAAATTGAAAGAGTATGGCACAACTGCAAACCTATCAAGACATGGTCATCCACCTAAACTGACAGGCCGAGCAAAGAGAGCATTAATCAAAGAAGCAGCCAAGAGGCCCATGGTAACTCTAGAGGAGCTGCAGAGATCAACAGCTCAGGTGGGAGAATCTGTCCACAGGACAACTATTAGTTGTGCAATCCACAAATCTGGCCTTTATGGAAGAGTGGTAAGAAGAAAGCCATTGCTGAAAGAAAGCCATAAGAAGTCCATTTGCAGTTTGCGAGAAGCCATGTGTGGGACACAGCAAACATGTGGAAGAAGGTGCTCTGGTCGGATGAGACCAAAATTTAACTTTTTGGCCTAAAATCAAAACGCTATGTGTGGCGGAACCAACACTGCACATCACCCTGAACGCACCATCCCTACTCTGAAACATGGTGGTGACGGCATTACTTTGTGGGGATGCTTTTCTACAGCAGGGACAGGGAAGCTAGTCAGAGTTGATGGAAAGATGGATGGAGCCAAATACAGGGCAATCTTAGAAGAAAACCTGAGTCTGCAAAAGACTTGAAACTGGAGGAAAGGTTCACCTTCCAGTAGGACAACGATCCTAAACATACAGCTAGAGCTACAATGACATGGTTTAGATCAAAGCATATTCATGTGTTAGAATGGCCCATTCAAAGTCCAGACCTAAATCCAAGAGAATCTGTGGCAAGACTTGAAAATCCAATCTGACAGAGCTTGAGCTATTATGCAAAGAAGAATGGGCAAAACTTTCACTCTCTAGATGTGCAAAGCTGGTAGAGACATACCCAAAGAGACTTGCAGCTGTCATTGTAGTGACAGGTGGTTCTACAAAGTATTGCCTCAGGGGAGCTAAATACAAATGCATGCCACACTTTTCAGATATTTATTTGTGAACATTTTTTAAAACTATTTATCATTTTTCTTCCACTTCACAATTATGTGCCACTTTATGTATGTTGGTCTATCACATAAAATCCCTTGACTCAGGGGAGCTAAATACAAATGCACGCCACACTTTTCAGATATTTATTTGTGAAAATTTTTTAAAACTATTTATCATTTTCTTTCCACTTCACAATTATGTGCCACTTTATGTATGTTGGTCTATCACATAAAATCCCTATAAAATATATTTACGTTTTTGATTGTAACATGACAAAATGTGGACAATTTCAAAGGGTATGAATGCTTTTTCAAGGCACTGTAGTGACTAATCTATGCAGCCACAGAGATACTGCTCGGAAGAGTTCATGTTTGTGCAGCTTTCATAATTCTGCAGCATATGCATGTTTTTTTGCCATTCTGACTATTTTGCATTATAATATCAAAATTTTCACCTGTTTAGTAAGCTGCAAGTCACAGTTATGCTCTGATCATTGGGTTTATTACCTGTTAACAGGGGCAGACTGACCATTTGGAGGGCCCGGGGTCAGTAGGGGGGCCCAATGAGATGCCCCTGGTACCTTTTTCATAGGTTTTTTTGGAATTTGGGCAAGGACACAGGGGTCCCATGATCCCCTATTGCCCGGGGGCCCCATGAGTTGTCAGTCCGCCCCTGCCTGTTAAACTATTAAACTCTAAACAAGCCATGCAGATTACATATATACCACATTCAAAGTAATTTCTTAATTTTATTACACAACCTAATTTTCTTCTAGTAAATTGAATCCACTCCACCTTCACCATTCCTTTCTGTTCATTGCAAAATGTGATTGCATTGCATATAGTGATATCATTGCTTACTAGGATTTAAACAGACAGCTATTTTGGTGTTTGATGCCTAAAAAGCATATTTTTGGAAGCCTGTAATTTTGATCCAACAACCTCATGCTCTGTGTGTGCATCCACACTGCACATATGAACTTTGTAGTTTTCACATTTAAATCCAAAATCATCCACAAATCACACAGCGTTTAGAACTCTTTCTGGGAACTGTCAGTTTACCTTCAGACCTTCTACCTTTTTATTTTCCAAACCACTTGCCACTAATAAAAAATATTTAAAGCTGAGAATGTTAATTATACGTGTTCAGAAGGGTAAGGAATTCAGTCTGCAAAGCTAAAAGCTAGAATGGATTTCTTAGTCTTACTACAAGTGTAGCATACCTTGTATTTGCCCTCATGTTCTCATAGCTGACTTTGGTTGGGAAATTTTCTTACCAGTGGCCGCGTAACCTAAAATACTACATTCCTTGACAGAATTTGCAATATCCCACATTGTATTAAAGGTGCACTCCGGGTAAACATCCATATACCTGATGGAAATATGTAATGAGAACTTTTTTATCTACTATAGGATTTTTGTTTTTTTGTCCTACCAGTCCTGCGATTTACAAGGCCTGTCAGACAGCAGAACCAGAAAGGGTAATTTTGCCTACCCAAGTTATGCAGTACAGCTTGGTCACCTAACTGCCCACAGACTGTGAATGGACAATGAAGCAGCAGAAGCAAGCCAATCTTTCCTACCGACAGCATGTTCCTTTTCAATAGATGTTCAAATAGCAGACCTAATTGGCCCCTAGTGTGCTTCCCATCCCTCTTGCAGTCAGAGTGCTGCTGTTCAAGGGTCACAGGAGGCTTTCATCAGAACAAATAGAGGTACTTACTCTAGTTGTATTTAAACATTCATTTAACTATTTTTTATTGAAAAGCTGAGTGCAGCTGTTAATAGGATCTGAAATTCTATTTATGTATTGTCTATATTTTCATAAAAAGCTGCTAATTCTCAGTTTTCTCAGAAATATTTCATATCTAACATTCCCTTGATGTATGCCTTGTTGAAGGTTAAGTGCCTCTGTTATTCAAAATAGGTAATCTGTAATTTGAAAATCACATATTATTAGGTATTTAAATGCTCTCCCCACCGATTAGTATATTACCGAAAACAGAAAAAATCACAGTGGTCAGTGGGGTAGAGCAAGTTTTAATCTAATCCAGTGGTTGAATACATGCAGCTGCTGGGGAGCCAAGATGTGGCAGCTTTTTAATACACAAGTTCGCACAAACGTGGGTTTGTAACTGCATCTTTTATAGATGATATGGTTTCAGATATGGATTTTTTGCATAGTTAAACTGGTCCAGCTTGGACCAATATAGGTATACATATTCTATACTCTATTACATAGCCAATCCCTGTGAAAGCAGAAAATTGCTGTAAAAGCTGCTGCTACTACAGTGATTCTTGCTGTCTCTCAGGTTCCCATGCTGAGTGACTGCTCTGATGCATAGGGGGTTGCTTGCTTGGTAAGAGCACCATTCACAGAACACCTTGCTTTTTTCTCAGTGAATACAAGGCATTTTGTGATGGGAAAGGTAGAGACCATGGTGTCACTGCCTCTCTACATTGTCCAATCAGAGACTGCTTTGCATTCTTGAAAAAAAAGCAAGGCGTTCAATGAACGGAACCTGTGCTGAGCAAGCAAGCCCTTGTGTTAAAGCGGTAGTAAACTCTGCCACCCAAATAATAAAAAACATTTCTGGCAGTGCAGTATCCTGCCACAGTCTAAATCAAGCTTATAACCCAGGATTCTCAACCATACAGGTTGAGGGGCTCCAGGCGTGTTGCTTAATGCAGAGGAAACTGGTTTGTCAGTTTCCACATTGGTTCTTAAAGCCTGTTTTGGGACCTGGGGCCTGGATATTACTAAGTGATTTGGGAAGGATGAAATCTCCAATCCTGGATCCATGTTTTCAGAACCCCCAGCACACTGATTGCCCAGGTGTGTGCAGGCCTTTTTGTAGAGGCCTAACCATGGTTCTGGGCTCCACCCCAGCAGACAGGAGGTCATTGCCCAGGAGTCAAGAGGGCTCCACCTAGGAGAGGTGGGAGCCAGAGCAGCAAGGGGCTGCTAGTTGTGTACAAAACAGCCATTCAGAAAAAAGTCAGCAGGAGACAGATGTGAGCCTGACGTGGAAGGTCAGAGCAGGATTGAATGTATACCTGAGAGTGCCAGGAGGCTGAATATTTGTTTAATTAGTTTTATTGGTGGATACCCCTGAATGGGAAACATATGTTATGGAACTTTCCTTTAAATAAAATTGGGCTAAAAGGCCCTTAAAAACAGAAGAAAGTGAGTGGCTGTGTGCTGTACAAGCTCTCTCATTTGATGCTAGTTCTCACACATTATAGACATTAAAAGAATGCTTTTTATATCATTCCAACTTAGTGTGTATTGCCATCAGTGCCTTCTTACATTTTTGCAGCTGATTTTGTTCTCCTGCTTTCAATCTTAAACTGGCGCCATGTTTTCGGTTGTCTTCTGCATCTATAGTGTAGTATACTTTCAACCTTTCTCTCAGTAGCGGGTAAATTCTCACGCATATGCATTCATTGTTAGCCAAGCCTCATTTTCATTCTGGGAGTAACAAACTCCGGCATACCAATGGATTGCACACCTTCACCTTGTTTATTCCTAAAAAGAGGTACTAATATAAGTGGAAGGGAAGCTTTTACTGTTTTGATGTGGTTGTGTGTTTGGAATACAGTAGACTGTAGCAGGAAAGTTATACACTCTCCTGCTTGTCCCATGATAAGCTCCAATGTTTACACCCCTTTGTGAAATAGCAAGTCACATGGGGTGTTTCAGGAAGTTGAGCAGGGGGAATGTACTCTCACGGGATTGCAGTGCAATGCTACAGAGAGAATCATGCAGACACGACATCCTCCGAAAGGACTGACAGCACACAGAGCATGCTGTGAATCATGGGACATATGCGCATGCGCCCACTGATGTCATAAGATGCAAAAAGCTTGATTTCCATGGAACAACAGAGATTAGGAAATGTAAAAATAGCAGCATGCCCATTGTATACTATTTATTTTAATAGAGAAAAGAATAAATCTAGCATTTACTACTACTTTAACTATGGAGCAGGGCAGCCACTTGGCACAGGAGCCAAAAGACAAGGAACATTGTAGAAGCAGTGGTGATTCTCTGCTTCCACAGGAATCATACCCAAATTCAGGTTAAAGTGACTGTAAAGTTAATTGAAAAAAAAAAAAAACCTAAACATGTCATACTTACCTGCTCTTTGCAATGGTTTTGTTTAGAGCAGTCCCAATCTTCCTCTTCTGGGCTCTCCTGTCAGTGTGATGGACTCCTCCTATTCTCTGTGTGCCACCATAGGAAGACGCTTCCTATGGTGGTACACATGCAGGCTCAATCTTGAGCCATGCTCTGTGAGTCTATTAACTCACACAGTGCAGCTTGGCCCCTCCCTCCAACTCCTCATCATTGGATTTGATTAGCAGCAGCAGAGCCAATGATTCCCACTGTACTTACTGAGTCCTGTGAGGAGGGAGAGAGAACAGTGCTGAACTGAAATCAGGCTCAGAAAAGTATGTTGGGGGGCTGGGGAGCTGACAATAGAAGGTTTTTTTTACCTTAATGCAGAGAATGCTAAGTAAAAAACCTTCAGCCTTTACAACCACTTTAAACTTTCAGCACATTTAAACCTTTACAGTGAATTTGGGCTAGGAAACCCTTATACCTAATATTTTCTGGAGCTTGTTACAAAAGCTATTTCACACCAGATGTGTTGATTTGCATTGATCAACATGAGCTCAGCACAAAGGCTCCTAGAAAACAATTGGTCTCTATGTGCCTTGTTCACACCATACATGTGCAGTGGTGTTCGTTGCATAAAAATGCAGCATGTCTGATTTTTTATACTGAGTAATGCACATCACTGCATGTCAAAACATACATACTGTATAAAGTTGAATGAAGTGGGTTTTTTGTCACTTTCAATAAAGCTAAAAAAAAAAAGCAAGAAAGTAAATGCACACCAGCACACACAGTATACACAGCATTAACATGTTGAGGTTGGTGTAAACTGAAACTTTTTTGTTTTTATATAAACAGAGTGGGAATGGCATAGAACATGCCAGGATTTTGTTGAGGTCTGTGTGGTCCTGTTGGGACACAAAGTATGTGTAATCTCTCCAGTGGTGTCACAGACAGCAACAACATTTTTTGGGTAAAATTTGGAAGAGTTAGAACCTTATATTATTTATACTGTTTGTGACTTTCTGCATTAGTAATGACGGATGTCTTCATTTCTGGCCCTCAGCCAGTATCAGCTGGAATTAGGCAAGAAAGTAAATAAAAATAAAGGCTTATATTGCTGTCTAGTAATCCGGTGGCTTCAGTTCTTTCTACATAAGCATTGACTAGAAATTGGAAGGCAGGTTAGCAGTGCTTTACATTTTTCTGTTAAATTTACTTGTTCTGGGTCACTGTATTCTAAAGATGGCCAAGCAACTAGCACTTTCACAAGCTGTTTAGAAATGGTATGCTCCAGAGTTTTCACAATACAGGTTTACATGACCTTCAAAGCAAAACCAAACCTAACACATGACCAACATAAATGCTGCCCTGATGACCCCACTAATCCTAAATTAGGATAAAGAATATTTTCTCATCCAACTCCATTCTTGCATTCGAGACCTAGGATGGTTCTGCCAACACTGTCTAAAAGAATTATGCCAACCCAGGAAATCTAGCACTGATAAAGGTGTGTAACATTGGTCTTCTATCTG